GGGTGTAGGGGTTCAGGGGTTTCGGGTTTCGGGCTTGAGGGTTTAGGGGTTCAGGGGTTTAGAGGTTTGGGCTTTTTGGGTTACGGGTGTCTTTATGGGGTTTGTTGATCGGGTTTGGTGTGGACCTGGCGGGGTTGTACAGGGTGTTCGAGGGGTTTTGTGGGGTTTTTGTTTGGCTTTGTTTTCTAGCAGGAGTTTTGACAGTGTCTTTTTGGTTTTGAGTTCTGTAGAGTTTTTCAGGGTGTATATTTTGGGGTGTAGGGCACATTTGGGTGTCGGGTTTCTGGGTTTTGGGGCTTAGAGGTTTACGGGCTTAGCAATCATGCGTCACAAGCAGCAAATCTCTTAAGGAGTTGCGTTCTCAATTTCAATAAGACCTCATAAACCCAAGCCTAAACCCTAAACGGCCCTAAACCCTCAACCGAGGAGCACCGCCGAGACTATCGGTGGCGGCCCCCGCGTGTCAACGGCGAGCTACAGCTCGGCATCCCGAATCGCGCGCTGGATGCAAAGGGCAGGCTCGTAGTCTTAAAGGGCCTGTGCGGGGCTTCGTAACGCCGTTTAGGGTGTAAGGGGTTTAGGCTTTTTAAGGTTTCCAGGGTTTCGAGTTTATGACGTCCTGCGCCAGCCCGTGGGCTGGATGCTCGGCTTCTCTGTCGCCAGCAGGGGTGTTCTAGGCTTCATACAGATCTCACTTTCTTTGCTGCCACCTCGCGGAGGATGCCATGGTTGTGATACTTCCAAGATCAAGCTCAAGCCTAGCTCGGCACGAAGCAAGGCATTTGCAAGCTCTCCTTTTTGTCATGGTCGCGCTTGTTGGCATCTCCCCACCGATCTTGTTCTGGCTCTAACATGGGCAAGAGCTTGTCTTCGTAAAATCGGCTTGCAATTCGACAAGCTTTGTCTTCTCGGTAATATCCGGCAATACGGCCCCTGTATTGTTGGGTTACAGCCCCCTTTTGGCCTTTCGGATTTTCGGCCCATCGTTGGCCAACTGACCTACTTGTCCCATCTGGGGCCGAAAGACTGGGTTCGTCGTAGGCATAACTTTCACTATTGTAGGGCAAGAGGCCATGCATGAAGGTATTAATGGACTATTCACTATTGAATGATCGGGCTTTGTTACTATGATGGCACTCAGTAGTTTAAACCTTTCAAGTTTGATTATACGCCCTGAAAGCCTGAACACCAGACTTTTTAACCAAGCCCGAAACGCCTGTAGATCTCAATCTTCAAGCCGCAACTCTCTCACTCTCTCTCTCTCTCTCTCTCTCTCACACACACACACACCATTTGCCTCCAAGGAGAACCCTGAATCCCTAAACGCCCTTTGCCTCAAGTCCTGAACCCTACACCCCGAAGCACCGAGACCTCGAACCGTAAACCCTAGGTATTCATGGTAGCGATCACCTTCCGATCGTTTGCGAGCTCGCGCCTGAAATTGGTCATGCTTTAGGGGATGGCTTGTGTTGGGTTTCGACCGGAGCTCAGGGGTTTTTGTTCAGGCTTGGGCCATAGGGCCCATGTCTTAGGTCTCATTGGCTTCATGGCCTGATAGGGAGCTGGGGCATGATGGCCTTTTCCAGGGTTCGGTCCCCGGATCTGTGTGCTAAAGTCTGTATGCCCGCTTGCAGGAATCATCGTTTCTGGTTCAGGGGACGCTGCCCCATACTGTAAAGTATTCTAAGGGTCATTCTAAGGGATACTTGCATTTTTCAGGGTTGCTATCAGGGCGACTCTGAGGCCTTGCCCTTGCGTCATGTAATGGTACTGATTGTGGTGATAATGATGGACATTAATGATGAGAGTAACAATAAGACGAGTAATACTACCATTATTACGGTAACCATGACTCCTGGTCCCCAAAACCGTAAGGAGTCTAGGGAAGCTGCAGAAGTGCCCTGGTGTTTGGCGTCGCTCGCTGAGGTTTCGCTTCGGTGGCGGTCAGGAAAAATTGTGGATCATAGGAGCGGTGCCATTGCACACATGCTTGCACGTGTGTGTGTGTGGGGATGTGTATATGAAATGTATATCATGTACCATGTCGATAGTCCGACAGAGCTTGTGCTGGTTTGGAACTTAGAACGAACTGTAAGCAACTGCAACTGATGCATGCCGGCATTGCTCCGTCCACGCCTCAAGTCCGATTGTGAGTTGCAGACAAATATGAACATTTGGTGACAGGCTGCGCCATAACTGCAGAGTAGTTGCCACCCGAAATTCGACATTCCGTGCGCCATGTCAGTGTGTGAGTCTATTATACCAAGGTTTGATCGCCAACTAGTCAAGAGGGGCATTGGATCTTGCCTGCGCATTGCCATGTGCTTTCGTATGGTGCGCAAGTTGCTGGTGTGCTTGCGATTCGGCAGCATGATTGTGTATCGTGCAAGTGCCGCTGTGCCTCCTGGATGTGCAGTATTCTTTCTGGGTGGGCCAAATTTGTCTGGTTCTATACCAACAAGGTTGCCGGCAGTGCTGGCTGCGACGGAAGACGACTACAAGCAACCAGCGCTGCACAACAGCCTAGACTCTAGACGTTGTGGCGGATGATGATGTTGATGGAGATGACTCGGCTCTGTTTGTTATTGCTCTTGTTGTATGTACTTACCACCATTATTGTGATGCCGTTGATGGCTTCGATGATGGTCATGAGGCTCGTGTGAGACGGCAGGTACTGCAAGAATCCAACATCGTGGTGGAGAGGCCCACCCTTCCTCTCTAGGTAGACTCTTGCTTAGCAGGCTTAGGATACTTGGCAACAGCTCTCTTTTTTCGCACTTGTTCTGTCACGCTGCCAGCGTGCCTTGATCCGGTCAGCTTTGTGACCAAGCCGAGCTGAAGTCCTCTTGGAGCCGAGGCGCGACTTCGCCGAGTTCGATCACAACAAGGAGCAGAAATGTGCATGAGAAGAACACTTGCCACTACCTGCCCCAAGTATCTCGAACTTCAGAGAGATCGAGTTGGGTATGCCCGAGTCTCGAGTCTTCATGCCTCGGTCCCTGAACGCTCCTAGCTCACACTGTGCCTTCCTGTGTCACCCCTTGGACTGAGTCAGGGCCTGACCTGTGCTCTACTTATCCGACCTCTGATATCACACTAAATAAAAGGCTCTAAAGCAGCCTCAAACATGAGTTTACATGAAGAGCAAGTCCTGGAGCTGGAGTCTCGCGCAAGGATGGCCAGATCGACTTCCAGGAGCTCAGACTCCAGGCGCTTCGATGCTTGAACCCACCTTGCTGGGCGTGGGGCGGGGATGTGTGCACAGGCTGCTGTTTAGTGGGGGCCTGAGGGCAGCCTGGCTCTGTGATTCTTCTAGGGGGTGAGGATTCCGAACCGCATCTGCCTGCGAAGGCTGACCGCCTGTTGTCTAGCCTACATTGACGGTACAGACCGCACCTTTTTGAAAAACAAAGCCCGAGGGGTATTTAAGATATTTAAGAAGCCTGAAGCCACAAGGGAAAGGGCGAGTGACAGAGGGCTGTCTGTCCCTAGGTCGGTCGGTGGGTTGGTGGGTGGGTGGGTACAGACGGATAGAATACGCTTGTATACATGCGCAAGGCACACACATACGCAGACACACGTAGGTTGATATAGATGGTTATAAATAGCAGGAAGATATACGTGGATATAGACAGATATACGTAAATATAGAGAGAAAGATAGATGCCTAGGTAGATAGGTAGGTAGGTAGCCAGGCCAGGCTGGGAGGTAGGTAGGCAGGTAGGGAGGAATATAGGTATGCAGGTAGGTAGATTGACTGATGGGTAGATAGCTAGCTAGATAAACAGATAGACAGACAGATAGATAGAAGCATGGAGCGGTTAACAAACGACGTGTGTGCAGGTGAAAGGGGAGCTGGATGCCACGCACCTGCGCCGACTGGTGATGGTCGCCTTGCTGCAGGGCCGGCACTTCGGGGTCAGTCCTTCCAGATCTAGGGTTTCGGGCTTAGATATGCTCTTTCGGTTGGGGTTCTAGGTCTTGACTGACGGGTCTGAGCTGAGGACATGGACAAGGAGAGGGCATCACCATCACCGATTTGTCGTTCCAGCCATGCAAAAGCCCATGCCCTCATCTGTCGGCTGACTGCTCCGATTTCAGAAAGCTTCCTTCAGGCTTCGAATGTAGCAGCTGGCCGTCTTTGCATGAAGAGAACGTGTCTCGCAGTGATCCGAGCTTGGCCGCAGGATCAGTCTGGCGCGATCTCACTGGACTCCAGGCTTAGAGGATAATATAATATAATATAATATATAATATATAATATATAATATATAATATATAATATAATATAACATAATATAATATAATATAATATAATATAATTTAATTTAATTTAATATAATTTAATTTAATATAATATATAATGGATCATATAATATATAGATAATATAATATAACATAATATGACCTATTATATTATGATATAATATGATCTACCCCTCCAGCAAAACAGCGCGGCGGCAACTGAGACGCTGACGACCACAAGTGGTGGTACCAAGCTGCTAAAGGGGATTCGAAGGTGCTCGTCAGTAAAGGGCGGGCTGTAGACCAGCAGACAGAGTGGCAAAAGGCCGATTGAAAGCAAAGTCGAGAGGCTCGTGGCAATGATTGACAAAGGGAGGTCGCCGCGGGAGTAGTACGCAAAAAGGTTGCTCGTGGAGCCTCCCGGAGAGCAGCCCACGACCAGCATAGATATGCCTTGCTCTTTGGTCACTCCTAAGCCAATGGCAAGCGCGAAGGAGATCAACGGCATGAAGACAAACTGGCAGAGGACCGCAACCAACGGCGCCTTCCAAACTTTTCGAGCCTGACGGAAATCGGCCGGTGTCAGTGTCGCTCCCAAGCCGAGCATTAGAAGAATGACGACGATCGCGAAGATCAGCTGCAGGGGATCCATCGTCCGCACCCTGGGGCCTGCGGCTTTGGTAGCCCGAGGTCCCCAAGTGGCGGCTGCAGCGAGTGGAGATGAGGCTACCCTGCCGAGCCAAGGCCCCACGTCGAAACGATGACTGTTCCAATTCGACACCACAACGCCGGGGGGCAAAAGCTACTTAACGCCTCGATGCCTAACATTGACATGACATACAACGAAGATGCCATCGCTACCTGCAGCCAGCAGCTCCGCTAGGCCAAACCACGTGATGAGATCCTGACACTGAAGGCTCGGCTCTGCGACGGCTTGGCCACTGAGGCATCTCGGGATCGTGCGTCGTCGCCACCGGTTGCCAGCATGATGCCCGAGCCTCTAGCCGTCAAACACTTGTCACAAGTCCCCACCTGCTGGCCTCCAGAACGAGTGTGCTTTCAACTAAACTCTGTTGAACCCGGCCTGTTCCCACTGAGAAGGCCAGAGAAAGCACAGCGCCACTGTGCACCGAGACCTTCCATGGTCACCATTGGTCGAAAGAAATCGTCGTTTGAGGGCTGCAAGAGCAAGCCCCCTCAGAAGCCGAACCACTGACTGCTGATTCCATATTTAATATTCAACTCGGTTTGGAAGCGAGCTCCATGGCACGACGCGGTGACTGCGGTGAGTCATCCCTGTGTACCGTGTGACCCGTTTCTTTGCGCGCGCGCGCGTTGCAGCATCCTGATGTCGTCTCAAGAATATAACTGAGAGAAAGGAAGGCTTGTTCGGGCCACGCCTGTTAGTCGCCCTCCTTGGAGCATCTTACTGACTCTATAAGGCTTGTCATCCGTCACGGCAGTGATCTCGGACGTACGGGATCACGAGTACGACTACTCAAACTGACCTGGACCATACTCTTGCTATGGCAGCTATGGTCACCCTATGGTGGCTGGAAACAGTTCAGGTACTGGAACGAAAATACCTTCAGCAGCGTAGGGCTGATGTCTCGCAGACTGACGCTGTCAGTAATGTACAAAACGTCAGACTGCAACAAAATTCGCAGCAAGCGGAACTGGAACTGGAACAGCTGCGGAGACTCCGGAAACACACAAACTAACGAAGCACATCGGCAACTGAGGGCACTGGCCTTTCGAAGCTTGATGGGCCGGTG